TGGGGGTGGGAGGTATAGTGTGTGTAGTGTGTGTGGTGTGTGAGGTGTGATAATTGTAGTAAAATCGCCGGCTAATGTCAAGTACTAATGCAGTCATTACCACCACTGTGTATATTTACAATAATTATTCACTGCTCACCACCACCACCACCCCCGGCCCCTTTTTATAACATTAGTAACAGGCATTACTTAACATATGAAGTGTTTACTCCCCTTCCCCTGCGGGTGGTTGGCGGGTGCTCTCCTGTGGTTTGTTCCTTCTTTCCTATCAAACATCTATCGTCCTTACCTCCTCGCCTTCTTTCCCATCAAACATCTATCGTCCTTATCTCTCCTCCTTCTTTCCTATTAAAACATCTATCGTCCTTATCTCTCCTCCTTCTTTCCTATTAAAACATCTATCGTCCTTATCTCTCCTCCTTCTTTCCTTTTAAAACATCTATCGTCCTTATCTCTCCTCATTCCTTTCTTTATATGTTACAACCAGTAACGCCTTCAATTTTTGGCACTTGGGTCTATTTTGTCGCAGGACCGTAACAGTCTTGCTCAACCTAATCCCCCCATCCCCCCCCCAAAAAAAAAAAGAAAAGAAAAAACAAACTAGCCCAGTGCTCACCCATTCAGTGTGTGACTCAGTGTATGACTCAGTGTATGACTCGCCTCATATTCGTTCAGCGCTTGACAGAGCCGACTGAGGATGTTGTGTGACTCAGTATGTGATGACTCAGTGTGTGTGTGACTCACCTCGTACTTGTTCTGCGCCTGACTGAGCAGACTAAGGATGATATGTGACTCAGTGTATGACTCAGTGTGTGTGACTCAGTGTGTGTGACTCAGTGTACGGCTCAGTGTGTGACTCATTCAGAGCAACTGGGAATATGACTAAATGTATGACTCACTGTGTGATGACTCAGTGTACGACTCAACGTGTGACTCTGTGACTCAGCATATCACTCACCCGTGTGACTCACAGCATATGACTCACCCGTGTGACTCAGTGTAAGACTCAGAGCGCTTGACTTACCTCGTATTTGTTTTGCACCCACCTGAGCAGACTGTGGAAGTTGTGTGACTCAATGTGTGATGACTGTCTATGACTCACTGTATAGCTCAGTGTGTTTATGACTCACTTCATACTTGTTCTGTGCCTGACTGAGCAGACTCATCATGTTGTGTGACTCAGTGTATGATGACTCAGGGTATGACTCAGTGTGTAACTCAGTGTATGATTCAGTGTGTGACTCATAACGACTGGGACTGTGACTCAGTGTATGACTCTGTGACTCAGTGCGTATATGACTCACCTCGTACTTGTTCTGGGCCTGACTGAGCAGACTGAGGATGTTATGTGACTCAGTGTATGCATGCCTCTTTATGTATGACTCAATGTGTGACTCTGTGACTCAGTGTGTCAGTGTGTGACTCACCTCGTACTTGTTCTGTGCCTG